TAGGAACAGATCAAAAAAGCAGACGATGCCGATTTGAAGATAAAGCGCTGCGAAAGATTTGTTGATGGTCTGGTGTTTGTACCTTAACACCAGTTTCAAACGGACCCTAACTTAATTAGCCTTGCCTACTCATGCTTCTTCAAGACAAAAAGCTCAGAAAGGTTTAGAACAATGATCTAGGTTCGTAAAACAGCTTTGAAAAAATATCACCTGTTAAGTTGTAGTTTAAAAAGGCGCCTATATTTTTAAAAAAAGCCCGCACTTCGAACGGCGTCATATCTAAGAGTTTCAGTTTAGTTTAGAAAAGCAAAATAAGCAATCGATGGTTGCCTTAAAGGCATTCCAAAAACGAGATCTATAAAAGGAGCCTTCTAGAAGTAGGCAGAAACCGTTAGCAATACAAGATTACACATATTTGAAAATCCAGAAAAACGCGGTGAAGAATTGGATAAAAATGACATTTTGCAATATTGGAAAAGTAGAGTTTGGTTTTGGGGTAGTTGCAGAATACCATCGTTAGTGTGCGATATTTTGGTGAATAACATACGTCTTTAATTATCATTTGATCTATTCTGAAAAACTTCACCGGTGGAATATTTTTGCATAAAATCACCAATTCAAATTTCGGTTTCGGCTGTCAAAAATGCAATTTTCTTCTTGTCGCCTTCCAACATATTTACCCATATGTTCTCACTATCACTGAGAAAACCCACAAGACAAGGATGCGGGAGAATCTAACACCGTCTTGCTTTAGCACCTGAATATCACCCTGCGCATATCTTCACTGAGATGGGTCTGTTATTCCTCTCCCGCAAGTCGTGGAAAATATCCATCAAATGGTTTCCTCTACCTCGAAGTATAGCATCCTCATTTCATATTTGTGAGCATCAAAGTCTTATTACATTAGGCATTAAATAAGAGTGGCACGGTGATGCTGACTAGAAAGCCCAAATGGATTGAAGCTAGGCCTATGGTTTTTTTTTCAAAAACGCATTAGCGTACGCATTGACCTCAAGTTACCAATTTACAAGTGTTTTTTCTTTGTGCAGCGAAATGTCCCAGCTTAAAAGTAATCTTTCATGCAGATGTTCGCCGTTTCGTAGACCTTGTTCAAGTTTTTCTGTTGCAGTAAGCGGATCAAGTGATTTAAGGTGATCTTACGGCTAAGTTAAGCAGGAAAGATTTGGCTATTTAAGCTGAATGTTTACAAAGCTGTAGGCGTCTTACTGACGGTGAATGTTAGAGCTTGCTGAACCTTATGATTAAAAGAGTTACCTTTTGCTGGCGAAGTAATCGACGGCAAGTGATGGCATCTTTTCCATACGTGTACATTAGGTAATATGCGTGGACAAAGCAAAGTCTGCTACCCACACACACAATAAATAAACAGAAGGTGTTGCTTAGGCAGAAAAAGCTTGACCTCATCTGCAGAGGCAAGATATTTTCCAAATTAAATTCCGGAAACTTCCATTATAGAGATCCAAAAGGTTACTTTGGAGGCGAGCATTTGTTCTAACTAAATTCTCATCAAGCCAGAACATTTGCATGTTAACGAGTAGTTTGAAAGAGAAATCGATTAACATTCTTTTCACTGAAGTGAAATGCAGAAAATATGCGAGGCAATTTGCTACAATACACATTAATTCAACCAAACGATGATGGCCAGTACGAACGCAAGGAACGTTCGAAAGATCCATGCGAGGAAAAGGGGGAAGATGACGCATGAATAAGTAGAAAAAATGTGAGTAAATGCTGTCGGAATACGTTCCTTATCCGATTACATATATCGTATTTGTTGCCGTTGAGTTGATCGTTAGAGAATACTATGCTTATCGCTTATTCGTATGCAAACAGAGAAAGGGAAACTTGGAGAGCAGGTCTTCTAACTCCGAATACCCTTTGTTGGATGGCAGCACGTGTTGATGCTTATAGCTGGCTAAATCAATAAAACATGTCCATACTTTTCACATCGGCGAGAAATAATGGTACTCTGTAATATATTGATAAAGATGTTTAACGCTTAATTAAATATTTTACAGCTTTGAATTGCCAGAACGCAAGGAAAAGGTTGAATAGGTAACCCGTTTGCTCGGAAGCTTCGATAGTACTGGAGAGCAATACTGCCGCAGAATGCTAAATTTAACATTTGAAAAGTAAAAATGGTTGTAAATTAATTGATTTGCAAAGGTTTTTTAGAGCATAAAGAATTTAGTGCCAGCAACCGTAGAATTTGATGGCTTCACCATGAATTCTTAAAATTGTTTAGGGTACTCTAACTCCCTTTACTACAGAACTGATAGCAAATACAATCGTCGCAGATACCACAGTTTAACACGATACTGTCAGTTGATGCGGATATTTGGATTGGATTTAATGAGAAGTCCTACAGGAGTCCTTCGTCTTTCTCTCTATTGTCCTTCCACTAAGCAAACGATATTAAGCCGCTGATAGCTTAATTTGACCTAACATTTCAAGGTATCGACGGTCCGATAAATCGAAAGACAAAGTGATTTAAAATAGGATAATTCAGGAAACGTTACTCCAAATATTCACGTCAAAGCGAGTAATCTGTCACCCGCAGGTAGGCACAGTCAGCATGATAGGCAACTGTGCTATCATAAGGAACGGTTCAGAAACTGCAGAACGTTAATTATTCGACTGAAGATGTTTTTTTCAAAATACTGTCCTTAGGCCTTTTTTTGGAACTTTTATCTCATGGTGCTATGTGAACTAAAATGTCCAACGCTTAAAGTTTTACGTACGTCCAAATAATTGCTTTACTTCCTGGGTTATTTCGATTTTTTCCCGCATATCATTGAAACATTGTTATGGACTGATTTCATAAAGGTCTAGGATGCGAAGTTAAGAAGCGCTTACGTCATCTGAAGATGGGGTAACCCAATAAAAATAACTGCAAACTGATTGCATCAGACATTGCTTACTATACATTACTGAAATGGTGTAATATTTTGAAGAACACAATGACGACATTCCAAACTCAAAGGACT